GTAAACACACCACAGCTTAAGGCTCCTTTTCTGCCTCGCTCACTGTTATCTGGAATGCTGCCTTGCAAATCCGTTTGTTTTAGGTTTAATTAAACTTATTGGGGTGACATTGGTTAATAACATTATGTAATTCCAGGCACACAATTCTGTAATACTTCATTTGTGTATTGTTGTGGGCTCTCCCTCCAGAGTCTGGTCTCCTTGAGGTCACCCTGTATTTGACTGCCTTTACCTCCTCCATCCTCCCTCCGCCCTTTTCCCCTCTGGTGACCACCACTCTGTTGTCTGTGTCATCAGATTCTAGTGTCGCTTGGCAGCTCCAGACTCCGGTCTTGTGTCCTCAGGCCCCTGAGCCTTTCTCGTCCTGTGTGAGGTGCTCTGTGCGCCCCGTGGTCCAGGGGCTGTCCCTGGCAGAAGCAGGGCTCATCCTCCTGCCGGTGGTCGCAGACTTCCCGGCCCGTCCTGCAACACTCGAAAAACCACTCTTCGACACATTTTTCTTCTGTGGTAGGAGTCCCAGTCTGAAAGTAGTTCCTCTGTTTTATTTTAAATTACAAGTATCTGTAACACGTTGAAGTGGTACAGAAGTAGAAAAAGTGAAGGGAAGGTGATTTTTTTCAGTGGGCATTCTCCTCTGTTGTAAGAGTGGGAGCCACATTTTGTGTGTTCCCCTCTTGATGGACATTCAGGCTGTGTGTGGAGGCTCTGGGGCTGGCTCTGGGGCTGCCTCTGGGTCTTACCCACCGTTGTCCTCTCCCGTCTCCGACTGAGCTGGCGACCACCTCCGGTCGTCTGGGGCCGTGGTTTTCCGAGTGTGATAGCTGTGCCGTAGCACCTTCCTGGAAGTGGTACCTGTTCGCACCCCCATGACAAAGGTGTAATGGAGGCCATTTCTCTTCTCCCTTGTCAGCACCATGTGTTACCTGTCGTTAACACAGCCATCAGGTTCTCAGGTGGAGGCCAGGGCATCTCTGCTTCACTCTGCGTGCCTTTAGTTATCAGTACAGCGTATGGTGTGTCTGTTTTTATTTTTATTTTTTATTTTTTTGTGAATTGTTAGGTCATATCCTTTGCCCATATTCCTCTTAGAATACTTGACTTTTCTTATTGGTCTGTGGTACTTCTACATAGCATGAATGTTAACCTTGGTCATATATCCAATAAATTCGTGTTTTAAATTTGTTATGGTATCTCTTTTGGTTTGCTTTTTTTTTTTTTTTGTAATTGCATTTTTCTTTATAACTTCAGGGTTTCTTGTCACGCTTAGTTCATTTCTTCTAGGATTATAAAAATTTTCTCATGTCCCCTACTGATACCATTATTTTAGTCATTTAAATATTTAGCCTCTCTGCTTGTCTGCCTAGCCCCACTAGTTTACTCTTGCTCACAGGCTTTTGAGTTTGACGTCAAAGAATCTTTTTAAAAAAGATTCCACATGTAAGTGAAATCATGCGGTATTGGTCTTTCTGTGTCTGACTTTGTTCACGTAGCATCGTACCCGCTGCAAACAAAAGGAACAGACTCCCAGCCAGGACAGACTGCTGGCTGCCCGAGGGGAAGGGGGTTAGCAGGTACCAACTTGTAGTTACCAAATAAGTCACGGGAGGTGATGGGCACCGCAGGGAGTTACTAGCACATAACAATTCCGTACGATGACTGGACTTACCGTGGTGATCACTTCACAAGGTGTGTAAGTGTCGAATCACCGTGTCGTACGTCTGAAACTTATTGAACGTGTGTCAGCTCTAATTTAAAAAATTTAGAAAAGTCAAAGAATGTGAGAGATTGTTCACCAAACCTTTTGTTTTGCAAAAGAGGAAACTGCGCCTTGGTTGTCCTCCACGGTCACACCGAGCCGCGTCATTTCTCGGCAGCGCTGAGAATGGAGCCCACGCAGAGCTCCTCACGTGTCAGCCCTGGACAGGGTCCACGTCACGCCTGGGGAGTGAGCGCTGGGCCGCAGGGCCGCTGTAGCGCCCCAGCACCCGTCACGGACCGGCGTCCCGGGCACCGGTGATCCCGTTACGAACTGAAGGGGGCACAGGGTCTGGCACCTTGGAGTCTATTCTTTACCGAATAAGGAAGGCAATCAAAAGTGAGCAGACACGTGTGGAATTATTACTTGGCGTGAGAACTGTGAAGGAAGTGAAATCGTGGGAATGGAGGAGGATAACGGGCTTGGAGGCTGCCAGACAGGGGGTCCAAGGCTGCCCCCTGTGGACGGACATGGTATTTCAGTCGAGCCCTGGAAGATGACGGGGGGGGTGGGGGGTGGGGGGGGTGGGGGGGGGGGGGGGGGGGGGGGGGGTGGGGGGGGTGGGGGGGGTGGGGGGGGTGGGCCCAGCGGCTTCAGGGAGAGCATTCCAGGAGAAGAAAGACTGACGAGCCAGACGGCCAGGCAGGTCGGGCGGGGGAAGGGCTGCAGCCCGTGTAGGGTGTGAGCAGGTGTGAGCAGGTGTGAGTTTCACCAGGAAGGTGGTGGTTGTCAAATGCTGGCCGACTTCGCCCCAGCCCTCTGAGTACTTTTCAGACAACTTCACGGACGCCTGCTTTGTAAACACCTGTACTGTTCATTTCTCTCCAAAACTACATAGGCAGCTGGAAAAATCCAGCGATAAGTCTTTAGTTCCCAGACACGTATAATTTGTTAGGTAAACTCTTACCTTGTGATGGAAAGGTATCTTTATCCGGGTCAAAACGCGTGCTGCATTTTTTGGAGCTCCTGGTTATGAGTAGGAGTCACAGTAAGAACAGATCCCCTTCAGGTGGAACTTGTTTCAGAACAGGTAACAGAATGTGGTGCATAAATCCACTTGTCCCAGCAAAGGGAAAGGAGAGGCGGAGTCTGTCTTCGCAGTCGCAAGGTGACATGGGGGGAGCGAGGCCGAGTTGCTCTAGCACGTGACTGCACTCAGGGCGTCACACTGCCCTCCGGTGGTGGTTCCGGAGCTGGCGTTTTCGGGCGGGTCTTCTGTTCTTGGGTCCTGTGTCATGTTGTGCCTACGTTCGCTCCCAAGTTCGATTTTTTTAAAAACTATCTGAAGTCAAAACCCATTTTATTAACATTAAAAGAAATTCCTTTTCTGGAGCATGTGCTGTATTTTCTCAGGCTTTAATAAAATCCACTGGACTCTCCTGTGTGGGAGAGCCTGTTGGATTTTTTTTGCAGGCTTTTCCCCTGTTGATAAACAGTCGAAATGAAGAAACTCATTGATGTCTGGTGTACTTTCTCTGTATACAGAACACAGATTACCGAGGAAGGAGGGAAATCTGAATTCTACAGTGTTCCTTTCAGCCGGGGAGTAGACTTCAGTTCTGTAATTCACTTTCAGGTGTTTGCTACTCCTCAAGCCCTCCCTGTCACCTTACCTTGCTGACACAGATTTTTTCCGAGAGGCTTGGACTTGACCCATGAGTGAGACATGAATCGCTTTGTTCTTCAGGTCCCAGGATGGCAATATTGAATAAGACATTGCCTTTGATTTCGGGGAGATCAGAAACTTGTGGGCACATAGTTATGGAAACCATAAAATAGGACGTGGTAAATGCTGTGGAAGATTGTTGTGTGTCATTTTTGGGGTCCTGAGAGGAGTGCAGTCAGTTTCCGAACAGTGTCAAGGAAGGAGGTACCAGTTTGTCCCCACAGGCCGTAACCAACAACCCTCTGAATAACACTGGAGATGAGCATCCTAGGTGCAGGCAGCAGTGTGTGCGGAAGACAGGCTCAAGGATGCCCGGTTTGCTCATTTGGCAGGTAGTTGTGTTACTGGTGGGTCATTGGATGCGTGGGGAAGAAGGGGGCGGGAGGTGGGGCTGCAAAGCCGTGATGGGCCTGGTTAGAGGACCCTCTCAGATGGCAGTGGGGGAGTTTGGACTCGACTGTCAGATATGGAGAACAAACAGGGATCTTGGAGCAGCAGAAGGGTGTGATCTGTTCACCTTTCTGTTTGTGAAGGATGTCTTTGGATGGCACTGAGGAGGGCGCAGAGGGGAAGAGGCTGGAGGTGGGAAGGAAGACGGGGGGGGGGGGTGCAGAGAGTCTGAGCAGGAGACGGCGAAGTCTGAACTGGGTGTTAGCAGAGCCACCCAGAGAAGGCGGTACATCGCGGATATGTTTCTGAGGCAATCCTCAGCCTGAACCCCAGCCCTGCACTGGCTGTGTGGGAAGGCAGGGCGCTTAGGTTCTAGGCTCCGGTGTGCCCCCGGAGTCCCTGATCACGTGGCGTTCTCGGTGGGAAAGGTAAAGGGATCACGCTGCTGCCGCCGTCCCTTCAGTCCTGGAGTTCTGGCTAGGGGAGGCGGGGCAAACGAAATAGCAAAACCTCAGGCAGGCCTAACACAATGTAGAGTTTTCAGTCCCTCTTTCTTTTGCTTCTGATGGCTTTTCTCTCTGCTGTTGTGCTGAAAAATTCGAATGAGAAAAAATGCAGGTGTTAGATTACGAAGGTTATCAAGATTTTGCACTTGTGTGATTGACTGAGAACAGTAGTTCACTCGCCTGCAAAATATATATTTATATATGTGTGTGTATATATCTCCAATAGTGTCAGCGTAATCCTGCTTTGTGTTTCCTTGACATCTGTATTTGATGTATTTAAAAGCTCTCCGCTGAAATTTTTATTTTTTGCTTTTAGAGGAACTGCACTCATTGGATTGGAATTATTTTCTGCTCATTCTCTCTCTATGCTTTTGATCTTTTAACTCCACACATATCTGAGGTACATTACACCTGAACCTTTACCAGTCAGCCTAGGGCATGCGCAGCATTCAACAGATCGCTGGCGTCAGCGGGCTTTGCTTCTCGAGTACGTGGGCAGAGCTGGCTGTGGTTTGCATTCCCGCTCTTATTTTGAGTGTCAAGGAAACGGGGCTCCTGGGAACTGCTCCTTTCCGTTTAATGGACGCACGGAGGTCCTTAGGGGATGGTGACCTCAGTTGCAGTGACTGTAAGTGTTAGCCAGGCTTATATTGTTAAAAGCACTCTTTTCCTTTCGTTCTAGTTCCCAAAGACCCGAAACCCCAGTGGAGACGTGTGGCGTGGAGTTACGACTGCACCCTGCTGGCCTACGCAGGAAGCTCGGGCACCGTGCGGGTGTTCGATCTCATGGGGAGTGAACTCTTCGTTATTGCCCCGGTATGCACATGCCTTACACCCACAATGTATTTTCTGAATGCTTTCTTTGTGTAGGTACTTGAGTGGATGAATGTGAAGAGAGGGGAAATAGAAATATAAATCTGAATAACAAATTGTGAGCTTAAGATGCCTAGAATTGAGTTAGATGTCTATGCATGGACTAATTTATTCTTTGTATTTTGTAATGCAGTGTCCAGACGCAATCCACCCTTATGAAAATGTGGTAGTAAGTAGGTGCTAGAAAGAGGTACCGAAAGCTGTTACAAACTTGCAGTGAGGGAAGCAAAGTCAGTGGGCCATCTAACTCAAGAGAAGAGTTAGAATTTGTTACCCTAAAAGGGGTAGAAGTTGAAAGGGAGAGTGGAGAAAAAAATTCATGGTAGCGATGACTTGTATATTTGCATAGTGCTTCACACTTTATTAATGACTTCGATATGCTGCATTCTTACTTAATATTCACAACAGTCCTTTGAGTAGATTGGGCAGATATTATCCCCATTTTACGGTTTAGAAAACTGAAATTGGGGGAGACTTTCTCCATGGCAGTCGAGTTAACAAGTGTCTCTTTTGAGAATCCGGTGCTTTACCTTTGCATCCTTCTGCCTCCAGAGAACAAGGTGCCGGGCCAGGTGGAACCGTGGATCTAACTCCGGCTGCGTCTTAGAAGCCCCTGAGCTTCATAAAGAAAAGGAAAAGAAAATTCCCTGACTGCTCAGGCTCCACCCACAGAACCGCTCACTTAATTGATCTAAGTGGGCTCGGGGCATTAATACTGTTTGCGAGTTGTTGAGCTGATTCTAATGAGAAGCTAGGGATGAGAACCAACGGTCTGGAGAGTGACTTCTGTTCAGAAATAATGAGTGAAGAACTTGAAAAAGTGCAGTGGGCTCAGATTACAGAAGTCCTGGGGAACCAGACTGGGAAGTGTGGATTGCTGTTTTCTAGACTAGACTGTCTGATAGGAATGTAATAAGAACTATATATATGATTACATGTAATTTCGAGTTTTCTAGTGGCAGTAAGAAGAGCTATAAGAAACAGCTGAAATTTAATATATTTTATTTAATCCAATAAATTCTAAGTATCATTTCAACATTTAATCAGTATGAAAGTTATAATGAAATATTTTCTTTGGTACAGATTTCTCTGAAATTTGGTGTGTATTTTTATATTTATAGCATATCTTAATTCGGATTAGCCATGCACCAGGTGTTCAGCAGCCACAGGGGGTGTGGTATTTTATTGCGTAGTTCAGGGTAGTGAAGAACTTCCTTTTGTGTGCTCCCCGAGGCACACATGCCTTCATAGTCTTAGCAATACATCCTTGGTACTTGGTTGTTGGGAAGAGGTTGGTACTGGTGAGTGTTTTTAAATGTCCTTTCCTTTACACTTGCTAATGAAGCAAATGGAAGGTAATTGGAGACTTCTTTAAAAAAAATTTTTTTTTAGCTTCCATTACTGCTGGAAGTAGACATCAGCATTTGAAGGGTTATATATGAATTCTGTATCTTAGAATCCTCTGAGGCTGAATGGGGGCATTACTATATAGATACATACTTTTCGCTATGGAAGTCCAATGAACATTACATCACTTATCTAGGCACATAACTCATTCAGAGAGGCAGCTGTGGTTCCAGCCTGTGGTTGGGAGGCTGGTTCAGACTTGGGTGTCTACTTGTGGGCACCCCGATTGGCCTGGTTCTTCAGGATGCAGATCAGTTCTGGGGCTGTCTTATACGGAGTGCCCCTGGTAAGACCGGTGTCTCGGGCATCTTCCACGTACACATCCGTCAACGTCTGTGTGTCCTTGCAGTCACCTCCTTCCCCCTCTTCTGCAGGTGTCCAGTTTGGCAGGGGATTTGAGCTGCGCCATTGCCGGGCTGATATTTCTAGAATACAAAGCAAGTGCGCAGTGGTCTGCAGAACTCCTAGTCATCAATTACCGAGGAGAACTTAGAAGTTACCTTGTCAGGTAAAGATAAAACACTTTATTTGGGAAGACAACCTTGACAAAATAATGTTTATTTCTCTGGCGTAGTGTCAGTTTTCTTTTCGTTTTTGTTTTTTCAGCATTTCATTATGAAAAATTGCAAAAACAATAGGAAGTACGAAAGAATTGTATAACGAGAAGTCATATACCTCAACTTAAGTTCTGTTAGCATTTTTACTAAACTTTGTGTCCCATTTCTGTCCTCCCTCCATCCAGCCATTAATTCATCTTATTTTTTAATGGATTTCAGAGTCAGTACGTAAATACTTCAGAGTGCCTGTCATTAATTAAAGTTCAATATTGGCCTGCAGTTTTCTTTCGGGACAAAATGTGCAAACAACAAAACACAGACCCTATGTGCACCAGCTAGCGAGTTATGACAAGAGCGTGCACTTGCTCAGTTCCAACTCTCACCAAGACGCAGAACATGACCGCCACGCTGCGGGGTTCCCTTGCGCTGCTTTCCGGCAAAGCTCTGTCCACGCTCATTCCCAGGGCAAAAACTGTTCATGCTTTTCCTATCATAGATTAGTTTTGCCTGTTCCATTCATTCCCATTAACGGACTCAGACTTCTAAGTCTTCATTCAGCATCTTCTGAGATCCATCGTATTTTGAGGTGTATCAGCAGCGTATTCCTTTTCCTGCCGATTAGTATTACAGCCTATGAATGTCTCACGTGCCTTCGCTCGGGCTGCTCTAACTCAGTACCGGGAACTGTGTGGCTCGTCAGCAACAGCAGCTCCTTTCTCACAGCCGAGGAGGCTGGAAGTCCGAGTTCAGGGCGCCAGCACGTTTGGTTCTGGCGAGAACATTGCTGTGGCTCGCGGACCACTGATGTCTCCTTGGAGCTCTCTGGCCTCTTCTTACTAGGGCACAAATCCCATTCAGGAGGGCCCCGTCCTTGTGACCGAGTTACCTGCAAACACCAGTGCATCCGTATTAGAGTTGTAGCCTATGAACTCCAGGAAGGATAAAAACACTCAGTCCTTGGTGGGGAGTCACAGATATTCAGGATGTAACGTTTGTGATTTGTTGGTGCATTCTTCTACTGATGGACTTCTGAGTTTCCAGTTTGGGGCTGTCGCAGATAAAACTGCTATGACCAGTCTTGTGCAACTCTTTGTGGATGTACATTTTCATTTCTATTGGCTCAGTATCTTTGAGTGAAGTTGCTGAGTTATAGGGTAGATGTAGTGTATTTTTATAAGAAGCGACCAGACCTTTATCTAAAGTTTTTATGTCATTCACGTTCCCACTGTAACATATCACAGTCGTGGTGGCTTTACATCCTCCGTAGTGTTTAGTGCTTCCTTTTAATTTAATCACAGCGGGTGTCCCGTGGCCTCTCACCGTGGTGTAATGGTACACGTTTCTTTTTTACCTCCTTCCCTCAGCGGCGGGACCCACCAGAGCTACCAGGAGAGCCACTGTTTCAGCTTCAGCGGTCATTACCCCCGTGGGGTCAGCACGGCCGTGTACCACCCTGGTCACCGGTAAGCAACACCGCTCTCCTGGGGGAGGAGCCTTGGTGGGTGTGGCAATCACCGCGCAGTTTTAGCCAGAAGGCGTTGTTGGTTCTGATTCTCATTTTGGCGTCTTCGCTTTTTCCTCTTGTGCACAGTTACCGTAAAAAGCTGTAATATTGCTGTAGTCACATTCCTGCTCGTCGGTGTGGCTCACTGGGCTCCGAGCCAGTGGGGCACTGGGAGCGTTCACTGAGGAGCTTGAACACCTCCTGCCCATCACTGCTGAAGCACCCTTGGGTAGATGGCCCCGCCCACAGCACCGACTCCGCCCTTCCTCCTGGCAGGCAGGGCTGCGTGGACTGTGCGCCTTGCCTGTCTCCAACCCATGCTGGTCTTCTTCACACACGCCACTTCGCTCTGTTTGCCGCGTCGGCTGAGGGGCCCTGAAGCTTTGGGCATTTTCTGCTTTTAGTGATTGCTTCCCTTTCACTTTGTTATTTGAGAATCAAATTTATGCATGTTTTAATAAGTTAGCTGAGCTAACCTTTTTGGTTCTCTAAATGGGAAGAATATCAAATTGTGAGTTGGGCAAACTTAGTTGAGTTCTGAATTTTGAGACTTACTCTGTGTCTGCTTGCAGGCCCTTCTGTCTCTCAGTGTACTGACGACTTTCTGAGTGACATGTATGCTTTTTAATCATCGGTCTTGCCTGTGTTTTGTTGGCAATTGTATTCTTAGGAAGTTTTTATACTACAAAAGAACACACCCCATCCCCACCCTCACCCCCACACTGAAGTCCCCTTTGTCCTCTTCCCTGTCCTGTCCTCCCGTCCCCCTGGAGATGACCTCTGTACTGGATTCTGTGTATCATTTTGTTGCTGCTTTATAGTTTTACCAGGTATTCATGTTTAGTTTTGCTGTTTGACTTGATATAAATGAAATCACAGAGAAGAAATACATGTCTTGCTTTCAGATTTGCTTTTTGAGGCATATTTCTCTAGTTCATTCATCTTAAACTATGATTAGTTTATTTCATTTTATGAATATATTGCAGCATATTATTCCTTCTCCTGTAGATGAAAGTTTGGTTTGTTTCCAGTTTTTTTATGTTGTTATAACAATAGTACTGTGGCAGAATTTATCATGCATTTCTTGACACGTATGTGCAAGAGTATTTGTTGAGAAGTATAACTAGGAGTGGAATTGTTGCCTTTCAGGTAAGTACATCTGAAACTTTATAAGGAATGCAAGTGTTTTCCAGAATGTTTTTTCCAGTTTACTGTTTCATCAGCAGTGTATGACAGTTTCTGTTGCTTCATATTTTTATTATTTATTTATTTTTAAGATTTTATTTATTTATTTTTAGAGAGGGAAGGGAGGGAAATAGAGAGAGAGAGAGAGAGAAACATCAATGTGCGGTTGCTGGGGGTCATGGCCTGCAACCCAGGCATGTACCCTGACTGGGAATCGAACCTGCGACGCTGCTTCATATTTTTATTAGCACTCTTGATGATATCATACTTTTAAATGCTTACTGATCTTTAGGTGTAAACAATATCTCATTGTGGTTTTCATTCACATTTCCTCCATTACTGATGACGGACCCATCACCTAAGGAGGGTGAGCAACTTCTCACGTTATTGGCCGTGCGCATTTCCTCTTCCGTAAAAGACGTTTTAATATGATTTCTTTTTATTGGATGTTTGGTTGCCCCATAGTGTAAAGCTCTTTTTAGTAAATCATATACACTAGGTGTTCTGTAAGTCTTATCTTGAAGAAGTCTTTCTTGGGGCTTTCTGACCTGCTTCAGTTTGGATTTGAAGCAGCCGCGTAGCGGAAAGTTCACCATCATCCTAAGGGTTGCTTTTACTTTTCTCCTTTGTGAAGTCACCTGTTTGCTAGACCCCATGCTTTTTTCTTTCTTGGTTTATCTCACTGTTTTGGTGAACCTCTTCCTGAGGAAGAGGGCCTGGGAAATATATTTGTTGAGGCCTTGCACACGTGAAAATGGCTCTGTTTTCATGCCTAATGGATAATGTAATGTGGTTGGATAGAAATGTAGGCTGGAAATAATTTCCTTCAGAACGTTGAATGTATTGCTCCATTGCCTTCTAGCTTCTAGTGTTGCTCTTGAGAATGCTAATGCCACTCTAGTTTAAAACCCATTTTTCTTTTTTCTCTACTTTTTTTGGCCCCCCTTTTCTCTGGAAGCTACGATTTTTCTTATTTTTGATCCCACTATTCTGAAACTTGACCATGTTATGTCTTGGGGTGGTTATTTTTATAAACACAGTGTTAGCTATTCAATGTGGATACTTGCTTTTGGGCAAGTTCATTAAATTATTTCTTCAGTTGTTTCTTCCTCTGTTTTCTCTTTTTTCCTCTGGCACGTCTGTTAGGTAGATGTTGAGTCTCCCGGATCACCTTTAATTTCCTCATTCTCTCTTTTCACCTTTGTTTTTGTTAAAAAGGAGAACTAAAAGTTTATTTTGTTTTTCATATACATGTGTATAATTAATGAAGAAAGTTTGAAGAACTTTTGAGGTCTATTATAAATATGATGAATTAATGATATATATGGTCCTTTAACAAGTGGAGTTCTGGTTAATTTTTTCTGATATATTTTCTATTTACTAATTCTTATGGGCCTCATCTCTTTTTTATAAAGTTGTCATTGCAGTTTTTTTCAGTTGTTGTATTTCTCATGTCTGGTTGTTTTAAGAATCCCCCTTAAGAAGGGAGCAAAGGGAGTGGAGTGTTCTGGGAGCCACTAGTCGTCCCGGGGATTGAATACGCAGTAGGTGTTTAGGAAGGGGTAGTAGTGAAGAAATAGAAAGCTGTTGATTTCTTCCTTTTGATTTGTGTGTCCCCTGCCTTGACGAGCCAGTTGTGCGTGCACATGTGTGTATTGTGTAGGAGCGCAAGCTGGAAAGAAGCAAGGGCCCTAACAGGGTGCAGATGCAGGAGGGGGGCGGGCCCACAGAGAGGAGACACTCCTCTCTGTAGGATCAGGGAAGTGTGCCCGTGGCACTCGCACTTGCTTTGGAGAATGGGTGTGATCTGGGCGTGATGGGCATTCCGGACAAAGTGACAGTGAACAGTGACAAGAGGAAGGCAGCCACAGGTGCTGGTGTGAAACTGCAGGAGGTGTCGCTTGCCTGACACTGTGGGGTGTGTGTGGGAGGAGGACAGGCGATGGCTGGGATAGGAGACAGGGTGTGGAAAGACAGCTGCAGGTCGGGTTTTGGGAGGGTGGCCGGCTGCCGGTCTGGGAGTCAGAAGGATCGGGCATTGCTTCGAGGAACGTGCTTTCAGTTGGGAGATACTAGAGGCTGGGTAACTCATAGTTCAGGCCACAGGTGGCAGGGGCCTATTCATTTTCTTGCGTAGAATTGCTGTTCTGTGCTTTGCCACATTTTGGGCACTGTTTATGTATAGATCGCATTTTATTTATTTTTTATTCTGGTGACTAGTTCCTACATCTCACATTAGCGTGCCAGACACCGGAAGGCAGAGAGCGTGTGGAGTACGTCTTTGTAGTGTACGCCCGGACTTGATCTCTCTCCCACGGTGGGCTCCTTGGCTGAGTAATGCTAACTTCCCAAGGGGAGGAAAAAAGTGGTTTCTGTCTTTTGACTTTTCTCTTTCCTCTCTTCTATTTCATATTCTTGTCCACCCCGTGCTTTTCTCTCTTCTATTTTTCTTGTCCCTTGTAAGAGAAGTATTTTATATCTTAATTCTTTGCTATGTTTTCCTGTTTGTTTGGTTTGCTTAGTTTATTTCACACTATGTTGTTTTGATTTATTACAAAGGTCGGTATTTGATATCTTCTGTTCCTAGCAGTATTTCAGGAGGTTTGAAATGATCATAATGAAAGTTATTACATAATGCCAGTTTGCCACGAGTCAGATTGCACTTATCACTCTTACGGCTTTCCCTTTCTTGGCCCAGGATCCAAGCAAGTTGTAGGTATGTTTTCAGAAGGATGATATTTAATACAAGTTTTGGAAAGTTTGGTGTGTTATCAGACCATGGAAGGAGGGTCCCCTCTTGGTTCTGCAGTCGTACAGTTCTCGGTGGTGCCAGCATGGAGACAGGACCGCATGTGCGTTTCCGGAGGCGGACCGCTACAAAGCACGGAGTGTGTGTGAGTGAGTGCCCTGTGGTGCACGGCAGAAATACTGCTAGGTGGCTTTTGTTGTTTATTATGTGTATTTTTTTAATGAAAGAAGCTGAAATATTCATCACATTTTCATTTATTTTTGGTTACTCTAGTGATAGAGGCCTGCAATATTTATCATCCCCAAGGATTTAATAAATGTGAAATAAGTCAGCCGGAGTGGAGTTGGGATGAATCGGCAACATACAAAACTCAGGGTTTTATGAACTTCATTGTTCCGCCTGACGCCGCGAGCCCTGCTGAAGAGAAGCTGGGGCGGTGAAATGGTAATAATATAAACAAATTAACTGAGGAGCTTCGGGGTGAGCTCCGTGGATTTGCCGTGGTTCACTGTTTTCTTCTTCTACAAACACCAAGTCTCAGCCTAATGAGGGTGTTTTATCCTCCCCAGACGATCTCATGTTCCGGCCCACTCCCCCCCCAGCTCCCCACCCCCACCCCCTCAACTCTCTCCTGCCTTCCCTTTTGGGTTCTCAGAGTTCTCTGTGTTCCGTAGCATTTTGGCTTACAGGTGCATGTTGGTCCGGCTGAGAGGGTTCTTGGACATTCTCTGTGTTCTTGGAGAGCAGCGTTACACTTTTCGTCCAGGGTGCTGTGCCTGGTGGTGGAGACTCAGGTGTGGCGGCTGCTCTCTGAGCCACCAGACCGAGCAGTTAGTTGCTCAGTCACAGAGAAGGGCACTCACGTAATGCGGGTTAAGTTCAAATACAAGACTTTGTCTGGGCACACATTTCTAAATGACATTGCTTTTAGCCTTATACAGCTTTTTAAAAAAGTTTTGTTCCTAATTTCATTGTAAATGTCTACAAGCAAAAGCCGACTTTTCAACTTTGAATCTTGACAGTTC